CTCAGTAGTCTTCCACAGCCGAAGAATGAGTACCAAATAGTCATTCAACCACCCCCAGAAGATAATGAAGAACCAGAGGAAAAGATTGAAGAAGACATGTCTGATAGGATAGCTAGAGAAAGGGCTGAGGAAGAAGTGCGGCAGCAGGCATTACTGAAGAAGAGATCAAAAGTGTTGCAGAGGGAGCTTCCGAGGCCTCCTAGTTCCTCCCTGGAACTAATTAGAGATTCTTTGATGAGGACTGATGGAGACAAAAGTTCCTTTGTTCCCCCTACTTCAATTGAGCAGGCTGATGAAATGATAAGAAAGGAGCTTCTGTCCTTGTTGGAGCATGACAATGCTAAGTATCCACTTGATGAAAAGGCAAATAAGGGGAAGAAGAAAGGTTCCAAGCGCCCAGCAAATGGATCTATTCCTAGCATAGAAGATTTTGAAGAAGATGAAATGAAAGAGGTTTGTCATGTTTGTCTCTGGTTAGGTTGCCTTTATTCCCTTTTTTCATATGCAATATATGTTTCCAAACGTAATTGAATTCATGGGACATTATCAATCATATTCTACAGTGCTTATTAATGTAAGAAATTTTCATTTTGGTGCTTGCTTGCTGTAGAATTGAGTTGTGTTTTGTGATAAACATTGCCTATCACAGATTTATTCATTAAGTTGAAAAGCGATTTTCATTTGCTGACACCTTATAAATGTCTTGGTGTCTGTAAATTTTGCAGTATATAACTGTCTTACTTGTTTCACAGCATGTAAGGTCTTGTCTAAATTCCATCTGCTGAACACCACGTACTTACCACTTTTCAGATTCGGGTCCCTGTCTGCCAGATCCTGAGTTTCCTTTTTTCTTTTTGCCTCATGATCCTTGACTTCTGTCATTTCTGACATGATATGTGGGCATAACTGATGATGAGCCTTTTGTAAACTGAGAAATGACATTATTTTTCCTTGCAGGCTGATTCCCTGATAAAGGAAGAGGCTGAATTTCTTTGTGTGGCAATGGGGCACGAAAATGAATCTCTTGATGATTTTATGGAAGCACATAATACTTGCCTAAATGATCTCATGTACTTCCCTACTCGAAATGCTTATGGTCTATCAAGTGTTGCTGGAAATATGGAGAAACTCGTAGCTCTGCAGGCTGAGTTTGACAATGTGAAAAAGAAGATGGATAATGATAAGTTGAAGGCAGAAAGCATGGAGAAGAAGTTCAATGTTCTCACGCAGGGTTATGAGGTATATCATCAGATATATGCTAATAATTTTCATTAATAATTTGTTTCTGCTACAATCATTTTAATTTTTATTGCAACTTGTACCACACTAGTTTTAATCTCTATCATGCCATTTTTGTTATTAGATTTCATTGAGAATTCACAGTGCTTAATAACATTTGCAGAAGTCTTTATACAGTATGTTTTCTTTATATGTGTCTGAATTCTGTCTTTATACAATATGTTTTCTTTATATGTTGTACATTTAGTTATGGGACTTGTTTTAAAATTTTCAATTCCTGTTGGACTAAATAATGGACAATTTCAATGATCAGAGACGGGCTGCAACTCTTTGGCGTCAGATTGAGTCAACTTTTAAGCAGATGGATCCTGCAGGAACAGAACTAGAGTGTTTTCAAGCATTACAAAAGCAGGAACGGTTAGCAGCATCACACAGAATAAATGGTCTCTGGGAGGAAGTTCAGAAGCAGAAGGAGCTTGAACAAACCTTACAAAGACGCTATGGGAATCTCACAGCTGAGTTAGAAAGGATACAAAATCTCACAAATGTATACAGAGTACAAGCACAAAAGCTAGAAGAGGCAGCTGAAAAGGATCGTGCTCTTGAGTTGTCTGAGGCTGCAGCAAGTCAAGCTGCTGTGCCAATCTCAGGACTTTCAGAGCCTACACCTTCCTCAGAGCATGTTGACTCTTCTCTTGATGGCCAACCAAGCCTGAAAGTTGATATGAATGTTGATTCAGGAAAAGAGCCTGCAAGTATGGATATGGAAACAGATGGAGGCATATCTGGTAATGTGCCTCTGGTTGTGGAAGACAAAGGAGATAATACCACAAAGACACTTAACGGGATGACCGGGGATGCAAGTTCTGAGGTTGCTGCAGAATCTACAAATCCTGATTCTTTCTCTACCAAACAGGAAAGCATCCAAGAAAAGCTTGAAGGTGAAGGTTTCACTGACCACACCAAGGCTAACAATTCTTCTGTCTTGGGCGGAGATACTGCTGAAAAACAAACTGGAATGGAGGAATAGCAGTTTTATCTCTGAACAAGTGACAAGTTTTGTCGGACTATGAGAGACCAAGTCATGAAATTCTTCCTCATTCAATGAGTAGTATTCAGGATGTGATGGATCCATATCTGGTTCTGTATTTTTTAATCGAGAAATATTCCATGGGTACTAGCTATGTTGGAGCAGAGCTTTTTCTATTGTAATCTTTGCATCTGTGTTTTCCAGTGCCAAATATTTTTGTTTCTCTTAGAAGGGACGTGGAAAAGAGATACCGGTAATGTTTAACATGTGATTGTTATGAGATTTAATGAACTGTTTTAGCATTTTTTTTACACAGAGTCTCACCCTCCTTTTACTTTCCTACTATCTTTTGCTCATTGGAGGTCCGGGGCTGAAAAACATAAAGGTCCTCCGTTGGTAGCTTTGGTCCAGTATCTCTTTTCCTGTCGACTTGTCTCATCTGCACTCTAATATTCACTAAATTGTTGTTGTATGCCAATAATTTGCAGGGATTTTCTTTCTTGACCCACAATGATTTTCAGGAAAGTTGAAAAATTATTTTCCACTTGACCCAGATTATCCCCTTGATCCAGCTCTGATTGACAAAGGTCATTCCAAATGTAAAAGAGAGTTTGTAATAATCTGCATTATGTTCTATTGTTAGTTTGCAATTTTTTTTTTTCCTGAGAACAGCTTAGAAAGCTGTCAAAGCCAGTCTTCCATATGCAATTGAGTCATGATCTGAATACGGCAGCCACGTAAGGGAGGAGTCAGAGTTATACTATCATCAAAAAGGAAGTACTATTGATTTGAATCAGCATCCATCTCTTTTTTCTGAGTTCAGAGGGTGGCGGGTGAGGGGAAGTTCGAAACCGAGACCTCAATCTTCCCCTTTCGGGCACTAAGCCGGGCATCCAAGCTGCCTTTAACTTGAAGAGTACAATCCCACCCAAAAAATTACAAGCCAAAGGAATACTTCAAGTTGGATAAGCTTTGGCTGCTTGAGCCACCCCCATAAATAACCTTCCTCCCTCTTTCCTTCTCAGTCTCTTTAAAATATGCATAAACATTTTTCTCCTCCCCTTAGTTTCAAGCAGGTATGATGTCATTTATTACATAAGAAACTAAGTAGGTATGATGTCATTTATTGCACAAGAAACTAATTGTTTCTTTCAAGAATGTTATTTTCTGCTGTAAACGATTGAAGTCATCATGCATGTTCTTACCAATTACCGTTCAAGGTGTACAAATTAACGTCCAAAACGGTTTTTGCTTCCTCAATTTGCGAACATATGTACTAGGTTGACTATTCTAGCAAGGTTAATATAAGAACTGCATAGATTCTGATGCAGCTCAAACCAGTGGCTATCAGCTAAGAAGAGACATGAAGACTGCGTTCCAGAATTGACGCCTGTGGAAAGGAATTAGGGACACAATAGAGAGAATTTAGAGAATTTAAAAAATTGAGATGAACTGAATTTTAAAAGTGCTGTTATGTTTATTCGTTTCACACTTTTAGGGGTGGAGAAAAAAATTGAAGAAATCATAAATTAATTTGAAATCATATCATTCGATTTGATTTGAATTATTTTTTTATTTAATTTGAATCAAATTCAAATATTAAATTTATATATTATATTCGTATCATATTTCGGATCAAGAGATAAAAATTTTTAAAAAAAATTGAATTAATTATATATTTTTCTTAATTTTTATATATTTTAAATTTTTATAAAATAAAAATAATTATTTTATATCTAATTTTATTAAAATATATTAAAATTTATATTAAAATAATATATAAAAATTTAAAATTAATAAATTAATAAATCAAATCAAAAAAATTCGATTCGGTTTGAATCGAATCAAATAAAAATTTTATTCGAATTTAAATCAAAATTTAAAATTTCATAATATTATATAATATTTTAAAAAATCAAACTGAATATAATTTGATTCGAGCCTATGGAATCCTTTACAATGAGCTCAACTACTATGTAACTGACTTTGTTGACCCATAACAGAAATAATCAAATAACTTTCCCAGCTAACTGACTATTAACTGATTTATCTGACTAAGCTCGCGATAGATTCATAAGTATCAGGCCATCAGCCCAACATTTTACAGCATAAAAATGTTTGATATTTTTGTGGTTCATGTTTCTTTTTCCAAACTATGATCGACTGTAGCTGGGGCTAATGAGATGGAGCAGTAAATTATTATGGAATATATGATTGATAAATCTTTGATATTTGTGGTTTCCATTGGTCACTGTTTGTTTTGTTTGAATGAAGATTCTATGATGTACGTGTACAATATTGACTGAACCAGGCTCTCCTTGTCCCCTGTGGTGGGTTCTTTGCTTTTCAATCTGATGTTGATTTCTCATTCATTAGAATCAACCCTTCTAGGAATCTTGGATCTCTTTTAACAAAGATTCTTTAAAATTTATCAATGAATCCCAATATATATATATATATGTTCATTTTCATTTTAATCATGTTTCCTAAGAAAGATTCAAGTTCCAATAATCTTCTTTAATTTTTTGTTTGAAAACTTTGACAATGAAAAAGACAAAACCATCTGACTAATTATTTTAGAAAATGACTTTGAATTCATCCTCTAATGAAATTTTGTGGAGTAATCACCAAGAAATAAAAAAATGAACAGTCAATTAAAGTTTGCGAAGTTCTTGTTATATGACCATTTAAGCCTTAATCAAAATCTGCAAACATTGTATTAACCCAATAATCCAACTCAAACAATTTGGGAAAAGCCAAAAGGAAATTTTATTCTTGATATGGCTTGTCTTTCCCAATTGCCATCCAAGTTCCTACACTGTTTTTCCACCATTAAAAATAGAAGATAAAGACAAAAGCTAAATTGGCCCACTTATGTATGCGGATTCTTTCATGGGAACCAAACATCAAAGAAAGTTCATGTTTCTCTTTTGATTATCTTCAAACTTTTTCTAAGGCTTTTGCATGGCAAGTGTAGTTGACTGAGTCCAATTATAAAGTTGTCAAGTTTTGGTGTGCGCATGCTCCTAAACACATGCATGCACAGAGAATTAAAAGCATAAAATTTATAAGAAAAAACAAATTTGGGTTAGTTTGGATTTTGGATTGTTGGTCAGCACTGTGTCATCTTATTTTAAAGGTAACTTAGAAGCATAAACTTTCTCAACTTATAAAGTTGGGTTTGGTTTTCTCTTTTGCCTGTAGAGTTTTATTGTATTTCTTTGCTGTAAAGTGAAAATTTTTGTTTGTTAAGGGTTCTAACAATTTTTGCAGAAAATAAGGAACTACTTAATTGTTTCTTTTTCTTTTTTTTTTTTAATATTTACTACTTAATTGTTTCTATCAAGGAAGTTCGCTGAAATTTTGAGTTTTCTGGGAAAACCAGAGAGAAAATTTGGATTGTTTCTTTCTGGGTTTTAAGGCAAACAAGAAGAAGAGTTTGAACAGGTAAAACAAGGCCATATCTTTCTCTCTCTCTTTCTATATGCGTGAGTTTAGGAAACCGAGTGCACATGCATATTCTTTAATGGGTTTTTTTTTTTTTTTTTTTTTTCTCTAATTTCCTTTCTTTTTTAAATGGATGGATCTCTTGAGTTTCCTTGAGACTAGTTCAAGATGTTGTTGGCATGGTATAACATACAAATTTCCCTGTTAAAATGGTTAAAAGGCAGGACTCTAGAAAAAAAACAATCACTAGTACACATTTACTCTTGAATAGAGGATAATCAATGACTTTGAAATTTGCTTGATTTGGTCCTTCAAGAAAAAAAAAGAATTGTATTTTTGGATATGTTCTTGTGAAATCTAATTGGTCTCACCCTAGAGAATGTTATTTGAAAATGGTTGCAGAAAAGCAACATTGTAAGGATCAATTTGCTTTGTGTTTTGAACTGTTTTTTTGGGAGTACAGACTAATTTTCTTCTTCTGGGATTAATTTCAGCAAAAATGGTGACCAGAACGGTGGATCTTCGATCTGATACAGTCACAAAACCAACTGAGGCAATGAGGGCTGCAATGGCAACTGCTGAAGTCGATGATGATGTCTTCGGTGTTGACCCGACAGCCTTCCGGTTAGAATCAGAGGTGGCAAAGACGATGGGCAAGGAAGCTGGTCTATTTGTCCCATCAGGCACTATGGGTAACCTCATAAGTGTTCTTGTTCATTGTGATACAAGGGGAAGTGAAGTCATTCTTGGAGACAATTCCCATATCCATATTTATGAGAATGGTGGTATTTCAACAATTGGAGGTGTACATCCAAGGCCAGTGAAGAATAATGAAGATGGAACAATGGACATCAATTTGATTGAAGCCGCCATTAGAGACCCAAGAGGAGAGCTAGTGTTCCCAACGACAAGGCTCATTTGCTTGGAAAATTCACATGCAAAGTAGGAATTGTTCTTTCTTATGAAATTCTCTTGTTGACTTCTGTTGGACAATGATATCGTTTGCACTTAAATTATTTGATTTTTCTATGCTTTCTATGGCTATACCTCCACGTTCTGTTTCACAATTTTTTATTAGGTGAGGCAGAATTGGGGCTTGTTTTTAATTATACGCGTAATGTGTTCCTTTTCAATTTCTCATGGCTGCTCCTTGCATTTTGGGGCCTGAAATATCCTTATTGAACATGAGCATTTAAGGGAAATCATCAGTTCTGTAAATCTCTTGAAACCCTCACATTTGCTTGATGTGCATTTTGCAGCACTGGGGGTAGATGCTTGTCTGCGGAGTACATAGACACAGTTGGTGAACTAGCTAAGAAGCACGGACTGAAGCTTCACATTGATGGGGCTCGCATTTTCAATGCATCTGTGGTGAGTTATTTTGAGGAAAACTTTTAATCAAAAGATTAAAACAGCTTATATGCTAACCGAGTTCTTCTTCTCTGTACATTCATATAACTAGCCTACTGTCAATGTTTATGCCTCTAATTAAATGTCTATGTGACAACTGTTCTCTGAACGAGTTTCTAACCAAAGAGTTGGTCTGCCAGGCACTCGGAGTTCCTGTTCATAGGCTTGTACAAGCTGCTGATTCAGTCTCGGTATGCTGTATCAACATTATTGGTTACTTCAGCTCCTGCATCTTTTCATGATTATTATTAGTTTACTTAATAGTTGTTTCACTTGTTTTCCCCCATACTTCATGTTAATTTACAGCTTTTTGTTTACTACATTATTCCGAAAAGTTCTTAATCTATAGATGATGGATTTAGACAATTCATCTCATCTTGCAATCCAGTGTGTTATATAATAAGGGACTTTTTTTCTTTTTCCATTGATTTTATACATGGTAGGTATGTCTATCAAAAGGTCTGGGTGCTCCAGTTGGATCAGTCATTGTTGGTTCCAAAAGCTTTATTACCAAGGTACAAACAAAAATTCTGCGGCTAAAAATCTCTGCAATCTGTGAAATTTACCCTCAAATTCCATTTTTTTTTCTGCTTTTTTAGGCACGAAGACTTCGGAAAACCTTAGGTGGTGGGATGAGGCAGGTTGGTGTTATTTGTGGTCCTGCTTTGGTTGCTTTGCACGAGAATCTCGGAAAGCTTGAAGGTGATCACAAGAAGGCAAAGATGTTAGCAGGTAAACTATTGGTTTACTTGATTATATATGCTAAACTTTTTCAGGTGCTTTCCATCCTTGAACTTAACTATAAAATTCATGGACTTTATGCTGGTTTTGTATGGTTTCAGAGGGGCTAAATCAAATTAAAGGTCTAAGAGTGAATGTTGCTGCAGTGGAAACCAATATTGTGAGTATTCTAGTTATTAAACTTACATTACTTACAATTTCCCTTTGCTTTGCACTCCGGATTGATCGAGTAAAAGAGTACAATAAGTTACCAGCAAGTTTTTACTTGTTGCTACCATGTTCACCAAGAAAAGTGAAAGACTGAAGCCACAAATTAAAAATAAATGCCTCAAATGAAAGTTACATCAGAGCACTGCAGACTGCAGCAGATCATTTGCAAACTGGTAAAAGCAGAAATTCTTAATGGTTACCATGCTCAGAATCTTCTACTACTTTTTATGACCAGATATATGTTGACATAGTGGAGGGATCAAAAATCACAGGAGAGCAACTCTACATGAATTTAATGGAACATGGTGTACTTGTGATGCCAGAGGCCCCATCCAGGTCAGTGTACTCCCTCAAAAATCACCCAGGATTCCTGAAACTTACCTGTATATATTGTTGTTGCTTTCAATTGCTCAGAAATCAATCAAACTTGAATGTGTAACTCCAACCAAGTAAACCTGTATGAAGCTAATTTCCCCTCTTTGAAATGTACCAAACTACTTATTTCGGCGAACATACAAGAATAAAGAATACGGGATGTATATATTCATAACACAAACATGAATTGCCAGGTCTTTACCTGATAGAAATTCAATGGTACTACCAGAACAAGATCGTTCACGTTTCCTATGAGTTTTACAGCTAGATACAAGACTAATGCTGATTATTTCTATTTTTTTCATTCAGGATGAGAATTGTTCTTCACCACCAAATTTCATCAAGTGATGTGCAGTACACTTTGTCATGCTTTCAGGTGATAAAAACCCTTCCGGTTTCTGACCTGTTCATGATTTTTCCTTATAATCTTCACTTATTCTTCCTTCTTTGATTATTGCAGCAAGCTTTCACTGGAGTGCAAGAACAAAATGGCAACTAAGCTAGCTCATGTTTCACTGGAGCCGGTTGAACTCAGCAACATGATTAGATTTATCATAAATTATATAAATCCATTTGTATTAATTAGCTCTAGATTCCATCATATTCTCTTTGCAGCCTAAATCCTTTGTTATACCTTGGCAAACTGAACCACCAAGGCTAATCTCAGAATAATAAAGCATAGTTCTCTTATAGTTGGTAATATGTTCTTTTCATCTTACATGAAACAATTGGCAATGAATCAAGCAGATGCAAAGATTTAGGGACCCAGGTTGCACCATCCCTCTGGGTTGGACCCATATCAGGCTCATAAAAGCCCCATCAAATGTGATTTGACCTTGGACCAGGCTTATATGTAAATTCTTAATTTGCCCTTCTCGTTGGATACTGTCCAATAGATTCGAGATTTAAATTTTAATATTGATAATTTTTTTTATTTTTAAGCATGATCTTTTATGTACAAAAAAAAATTTTATAAATGAAATTAGTAGGGTGACACATTTTATAATATATTAAAAAAATGAGATACTTGTTAATCTATTAATCTCATTTATAAAATTTAAAAAAATAGATCGACAATTTATTTTAGTATCCAAAAAATAAATAGAGCCAATTTTTTTTTTTTTTGTGATAATAGTGAGATGTGCAAGTAAAATGAACAAGCATATAATTCTTCACCTTTTGATCTAGTGGTTAAAAAAGTTTTACTATTACGTAAAAATTTTGGTTTCGCACCAAAATCTCCTCTCCTTTTCCCTTTATGCCCTTCGTTGAACCAAAAAAAAAAAAACAAAAATATAAAAAAATTGTCCTTAACCTAATATTGTGACAATGACAAAGAATGTTTTAAGGGTGATGAATTTGTGCTTACATAGGGACACAACTAAAACAAGACAAGCTTAACTTACAAGTTTCAAAATTTTGAACGTACCAAGATAATAAAATACAAACATATTTGTGTTTATTATAAGGTAGTTTGTAATGTGACAAACTTAAACTTGAAGATTTCAACCATGAAAGGGATAAATAAATAATACTAAGTACATTTTATTTGCAGTGGATCAGCCACTTTCCTATGAGTTCTCATACAAGATGGGAGTGGGACATTAACAAAAACAAAAAGAAGGCTATGGTTTACCACGAAGGTTCCTAATTTTGTTGCTATTCATTGTTTATCAATTAAAATTTATTTAAAATTTAAAATTTAATTTAATTAATTCGTATAATCAATTTTAATTATTGATATTTTTACGTGCATGTTAACGTAACCTCTTATATTAATCTAGTCTTAAGCTAATATTTTTTATTTATAACCAAACATAGTTTTTTTTTTATAAGAAAAATCATAATAAATAAACACACAATTTTAAACTTTCTCGAAATTAAGATCAATGTCATATATACCCCAAACAAAGGTACTAAGATCTAAAGATTATAGTAATTCCTTTGACAACAATGTGAAATTGTATTTAGATTTAACGATTTTATATTATGTAAAATATTAAAATTCGTATATTTATTATATTATAAAAATTATATGTTATAATTTAATCAATATAAAAATATCAAATATATTTTTTTAATTTTGTTTAATTTATATATAATTATTATTAAAATTTTAAACTATATTATTTTTTTATGTTTTATTTATATCATATTCATATTATATTATTATATCGTATTTTAGATTATTATTTTAATTTTGACTTTATAAAAAATAAGAGAGGGCCTTAAAATTCTTTTTAAGAGCTTATCCTATAAGCCTTTTGGGAAAAAAAATGAGAGGTATTTGGGCAACTGCTGTGAAGGTTCCTAAAACTATATGGGATTGTGAACGTAGCCATCACTTTCTTTGGTTTTAGCGTTTAGAATAGAAAGAAAAAAGTAAGGGTGGTTTCAACCCAGCCTTCACTATGTCTTATTGTTCATGTATTATTTGTGTTGTATTAAATGTGTATAAAATATAAAAAATTATTATATTAAATATATATTTATATATTAAATATAATTTTTTTAATTTTTATAAATTTTTATATAATTTTTATTAAAATTTTAATTTATATAAAAAATTATTATATTAAATTTATATTTATACATTAAATATAATTTTTTAAATTTTTATAAATTTATATATAATTTTTATTAAAATTTTAATTTATGTTATTTTTACTAAAAATGATAACAATTCGAATTAAATTGAAATCGATTTGATTTTTTTAAATAATATATATAATTATAAAATTTTAAATTTTAATTTAATTTAAATCAAATTTTTATATGATTTAATTCAAATAAAATTTTATTGATTTAATTTGATTCATAATTTTTAAATTATTTTTTTATTTTTATATATTTAAATAGATATAAAATTTAAATAATTATTTTTATTTTATAAAAATTAAAAAAATATAAAAACTAACAAAAAATATAATTTAATTCAATTTAATTTTTCACTTCCTTCTCTAAAATTTGATTCAAAACCAACCTAAAATATATATATTTAATATCAAATTTTAATTAAAACTAAATTAAAAAAATCAAATCAAACTAAATACTATAATTTTAAATTTTTTCTCTCACCCTGATCTTCGCATCTTCTTTACGGAATTTTCATGTTGTATCACATTTAAAAATTAACAGATTTCCCTTTCACCGACTGAGACCTCTCTCCCATCTCTTGACCCAATGGACACTCCGAGATCTTCTTCTCTTTCTTTGGTTAAAAAATCTCTGTCTCTCTCTTACTTTATCAACAGTATTTAACTTCAGTTTGCTGGAAAAGCAAAATCTGATCATCTCTGATCTGATCTTTTCAATTTCTCTTTTTAACCATATTTTCATGCCCCAAACAGCTGCCGCCTTTCAAGAATTTCTTGCATACTCTGATCTGCTGTCGTTGTGTTCAACTCCAAACCAAGAAAGAGAGACTATTTCTACTTCTGCTTCTATATCTTTTCTTTGCTTCATTTGATTAATTTTACCAATATTTTCTTTCTCAAAAAGAAAAGAAACCCTTCTTTTCTCTCTTTCTTTCTCATCAAATCTCATGGAAGCCATGCAAAATACCTCAAGTGAAATGGCCTAATTTCATCACTTTTTTCAATTCCTCAGCAGAGAAAAGGAAACTGTGTTTTCTTTGCTCTTTAGTTTAGCTTCATATATATCTCTATTTTCCTCAAAAAGCAAGAGAATATGGAAATATACAATCTGATTTCTTTGTCTCCGATCGTCCTCAGAAGGAAGTGAAACCCTAAAAAAAAGCATCGAAACAAGAAGCAAAGATAACATCATCAACGGGAAAAGCTGGAGCTGCCAAGATCCTTTAACACCCAAGAAAAGATGGACTTGGTTTCCCCACAAAACAACCCACTTAACTATTCAATCCCGATGGTAGGCTCAAACACCATAGAAACTATAGCTAACAACAACATCATCAGCACTGCAACGCCCACTTATAGTACGACAACTCCACCTCCATCGACCACTCCAAGCCGCTATGAGAACCAGAAGCGTAGAGATTGGAACACCTTTTGCCAATACCTGAGGAACCATAGGCCTCCACTGTCTCTTTCAATGTGTAGTGGTGTTCATGTCCTTGAGTTTCTTAGGTATCTCGATCAATTTGGCAAGACCAAAGTTCATAACCAGACTTGCCCTTTCTTTGGCCTCCCTAACCCTCCTGCTCCTTGCCCTTGTCCTCTTAGACAAGCTTGGGGTAGCCTTGATGCACTCATTGGCCGCCTCCGGGCTGCTTATGAGGAGCATGGAGGTAGGCCAGAAGGGAACCCTTTGGGATCTAGAGCTGTCAGGATTTACTTATGGGAGGTCAGGAATTTCCAGGCCAAAGCTAGAGGGGTTAGCTATAAGAAGAAAAGAAAGAGGCCTAAGCAGAAGGTAGCAGCTCAACAACCAGCTCCAGCACCAGCAATAATTGCTGATGCCACTGTTGCAAGTAAGTAACAAAAGAAATTTGATTATCTATTGATTAAAAAAGAACCAAATATATAGTGAAAATTATCAGTATATACATGAAAAGTATATCATTCTCCTTCTCTGCTAATTTTTCGCTTTCCTTTTCTTTGTTGTTGGTAATCAACTTGGTTTGTATGGACTGGCTATATTATTATTACTTACTGATTTATGTTGTTTTTCCAAGTTTGAGCTGTACCCTCTCAGTATTTTTGCATTGGTTGGAAAATGAGGTAGTCTGCTTTGAGAAGTGGGTACCCTTTAGGGGACAGTTTTGAATGGTAGTGACAGGATGATCAGTTACTAGGAAGCAGAGGTAATTGGAAAGGACTATACCAAAAAGAAAATGCTGGTAGCCAAAGTGATGCTATTATATATATATATATATATATATGTATGTATGTATGTATGTATCCAACCATTCATCAATTTGTCATTACTTCTGGATTTCTGATTTTTATTTCAGGTCAATTCAGCTTTCAGATTAATATATTCTTCTTTCTACTTTTTCTATAACTGCTTTTCCTAGGGACATTTTTTAATCACAATTCTTTTTTTTTTTTTGGATTGATGCTAATGGAGACTTTTTTTTTACAGAAAGTACTGTATAATTGGAAGAAGGATAGGGTCTTTTTGCATCAGCAATTGTCCTGATGAAATGGTTTTATGGGTTTTGTTTTTATAAGGTATTTCTCTTTCTCTACTCGAGTTGATACTTCAATGGCCTAATTGACAATGTTAGATAATTATATATATTTGATGGTATAAGCCAACCCCAATAGTAGATATTGTAATCTCTATGTTATTTTATATATATATATATATATATATATATATATAAAGATTATGAAATTTATTTGTTAATTTGGTTGTTGAATTGATAAGATTCAAATTCGAGTTTCGTTATCAATAATTCTTTTTATGGATAATATGTAAATTTAATATAAATTTTCTCGAAAATCTGCTGTCACACTTCTTCTTTTATCATCAATTTCTATTTTTTTTAAAAAAATGTGAAGTCTATTCCAATTCTAATCTCTCTTTTCTCTTTTCTGTCATGATGAAGCAATGCTTATTTTCTTATGCTTAAATAATGTCTAGTGAATTTGCCCAAATAAAAGAAAAGTGTTTCTATTGAAAGACAAGGCACTGGGGAGGTGGAAACTCATAAGCATGTGAATACTATCGGTTGGTATATTAGTTAAAATATAACCAAAAACAGATCTATTATAAAACCTAGATTCATCTTTTCTAATATTGTTGACTGCTAAAACAAATTAACTACATAAATGTCATAAAGTATTAGATATACAAAATTAGGCCACTAAAACTTATGGAATAGTGGGGATGTCAAAGGGTCGGGTCGAAATGAATTTTTGTTTATCTTGATTTTGATTTGATAATTTAATATTTACATTCGATTTTGATATTAAAATATTATCTTTTTATATTTAATCTGTATATTTATAAATCATAATTGATCCGATTTAAAATTAATTAATACTTTTAATTCAATAAAATATTTATAAAATATATTTTAACATAAATTATGTTTTAATTGTATATAAATATAATATTTTTATTAAGTTAATATCTTAAATTAAAATATTAAATAATAATTTTATTAATATAATATACCTAAATATAAAAAAAAATAAATTATAAAAATATATATTATTTTATATATATCCAAGTCAAATTAGGATGATATTACCTAAAATTCGACTCATCTCGGATCTGAACTTAAACTTAAAATACATATATATATATATATATTTTTAGATTGGAGCTGATTAAAACTCACTGAATATAAATTGTTTTGCGATCCTAATAGTGAGGGTTTGAAGGCTACTGAATGAAGGACTGACGATTTGGACAAACAAACTTTTGAACATTATTAAGGATAATACAATTGTTTAATACTTGGCTGATGTTTGATTGTCCTTATTTGGTATCTGATTTTGTATCATTCTTTTGAAAATTATTAATTCAAAGCTTGGAGAAGGAAGCTCCCTCGCCCTAAAATCTAATAATAAGTTAATTCAATAATTCAATATTGTTTGTATTTCTAAAATGTTAACAAAAGCTAGAGTGCTGCTATAACTCATGATTTATATTTTATTTGGATGAACGGTAAGAAAATTTTCCATTATATCAAAGTGTCATGAAATGTCATTTTGTTACTTAATCTCTCTCACAGTCCATTGAAATAAAGCATTAATCTTATGGAGTGAGTGAATTACACTCTACAAAGAAAATATTTACTATAGCAAATGATTCAAGCTATGGTAAGCAGGAAATGTTGGGAAATTGGATGGATACCATCAAATTTTATTATCCAATGGTTGTGATGCATAATAATCAGGTTTAATTGCTAACATCATTTACATTTTTTAGCCTTCTAGTTGTTGCTATCATCATCCTCCTTTTGAAAATTGGTTTTCAAATTAGGACAAAATTTATATAAAATTATTGAAGTGAAGTTTGTGAAATTTCTTCTTAAAAATGGTCTAATAAAAATTTTAATAAAAAATTTAAATTGATAAATTGATATAATTCAATGTGAATATAAGTAATATGTTAAAAAATTATTAAAAATATTGTTTATAATTCAAATTCAAAATTCAAAATTTTGTTAATATTTTACTAAAAATATCTATCTAAAAAATATATAAAAATTTATTAAACTTTTTTCAAATTTTACACATTTAATCTATATAATGAGATCCTTCAATCTATTGATTTTGGTCTTTGATTTTAGTTTTTATTTAATCGTTTCTAATAAGAAACTTCACGAACTTCACTTAAAAAATTTCATCTAAATTTTTTCCTTCAAATTAGGCTTGATATAATCACTTTCAACTATGGAATATTTAGAGCATTTAGTCCTCACTAGGCTTGAATTCTAAGATGAAATCTCATAATATAACAATTAGTCACACTTTCAATTTTTAATTATTCTGATATTAGTTATGAAGATTCATAATTAGCTTATAAGTGTTATTCACTATGAAGATTTCATAATTTTATTTCATAAAAAAGTATTATAAATATGGATTTAAATCTTTATTATAACATATCTTTAAAATTTTATTCGTATGGGATTCAAGTATTACATCTTAGATATGCTTGTTAAATGATTATAAATGAAAATTGAAATGATAATAGTGTGTTTTAATTTGCTCATATTTGGTTTTTTGGTTCAAACGTAATTATTATAGCATCTTCTGATAAAACATTTGGTCAAATTAAACTGCTAGATATGCAAATCCTTGAAAAGTGTAAACACTTCTTCTCTTGATCATATAGGGAATGACCATTTATGTTATTAGTTGGTCCAAATAGTTAATAAGTAACTTTATGAAAAAAAAAATCCTGAAAAGGAAAACTAGATATCAATAATGATAAAGTTGGATTGAAATAAATTTTTTTTTTTTGCATATGTGAAGAAAAAGTCAACAAATTCTGCCTTATATTTCAAACATAAATTATTTAATAATTCAGAACATACAAACATGGATTGTCTGAAGTTTATCGGAGACTAAAAAACCCTAATTTTTTTTTTATAATTTTTAGATAGATGATTTAAAATACAATATGATAATATAATATAAATATAATATAAAAATAAAAATAATATGATTTAAAATTTTTATAATAATTATATATAAATATAATAAAATCAAAAAATATATTTTATATTTTTATATAGGTACAAATTTTAATATATAATTTTTATATATAATATGATATAAATATATAAATATATAAATTATCTATTTATTCCAAAGTACTAAGATAATTGATTAAATAAAACAATCATATAATAGCATTAAGCGCGTCGAGGTGGTCCCCACCAGCCGCGTGCTCCCACGTGAAAAATTGTACGGCTTGTCGGAACAAAAAATTCCTCCCCCAGCTGCAATTTTGGCCTCGTGTCCCGTATTCCGTTTTTCCGCTGTTCGATTTGAGCCACGTGGTTATATGCTAACTGTAGGATGCAGGCAATACCGTCCTAACGATGTGGGATCTGTTATTTTATTTTTCTGTTTCTTGCCTTGTTTGGGTGTCGCCTGCTTTTGCTATTTAGGGGGAGAAATCTTTTATTATTATTATAATTGTTCAAAAACCAGTGACAAATGATGGTCCTTTTTTTTTTAAAAAAAAAAATTATGATTATTAATATCATTGATAACCTTATATTATGTTTTAAAAATTAAAGAATTATTTAAAAAAGATTTATCTATTAATATAGATTAGTAGATGATTTTAGGAATTGATAACATCGCTAAACTGAACTTATTAAAGATTATCAAATTGGTTAGTTTCAATTCTTATATAAAATTTTTTAAAAATAATATTAAATATTAATTCAAATAGTATATATACTTACGAAAATCATATAACATTTTCTTCAAATGGGTTGTATGATTTATTTTTCTGATAATTTTAAACATTATATTTTAGGATCTAAGACCAAGTGCAGATAAACACCTAAATATGTTCATTTTTTTAATTACTTTTGATTGATTTTTGGAATCACGTTTATTCATTTTGGTTATTTTAAGGTTTCGATACTGTTCAAAAAGTTTTGTTAAGCTAAATCATGAAATCTTCCGACATTTATAATATATTTAAAATTTAAACTTTAACATCTTCTTTTTTTTTTTATTTTTAAACTAAGATTTTTTTACAAATATATATATATTTATTCACTTTTTTCAATCACTTTCTTTGCTTAATTTATAATATTCATATAATAAATATAAATTATATTTGATGTATAAAATGATGAATAAGATAATATAATAATTATTTTATATTATATTTAATTTATATTTAATTGAAAAAAATAAGATTTTAATAAAGATCATCATCCTCTTAATATAAGATAATTTGATCCTTTCAAAATAAAAAGAATTATTTTTAATTTATAAGATAAAACTTACATATCCTATTATATCTTTTAAAATTATATTAATAATTTAAATTGTATAAACGTTAAAAAAAATAATTTTGATCAATAAATAAAATTATTTTAATTTAATTTTTATCCACATTAAACATAAGATAAGATGATATTATTTAATATAATCTTATTCATAGTATCATCTTATTTTATTTTATCTTATTTTATCATAATTTTATGTACCAAACATGATCATAAGTAATGTTTGGTGTATAAGATAATGTATAAGATAAAATTATAATTGATTTGTATCTAAAAAAAAAAGATAAAATTACAAAGAAGATTAATCATCTTCTTAATATAAAATGATTCAATCTTCAAAAAGTGAAAATGATTCTATGAGATTGAATTGCATATTCTATTATACCCGTAAAAATTACTATGAACTCTTATCCCAACTCTCACAAAACGAGGAAGAGTTTGCCTTTAAACTTTGAGAAAGAATATTTTTTACTAATAAATAAATTATTTTATCTTAATTTTTATACACATCAAATACAAAATGATATTATTTAATTTAATCTTATTTATAATATAATTTAATCTTATTTTATTATAATCTTATATTTCAAACACATTCATAAGATCCTTATTAAACATAGTAATATGATGAGATGAGTTGTGGTGTGGTGTGGATAAAAAAGATGATAATTAGATATGATAAATGATGCATGGAATTGGCAATCAAAGTGTATATCAGCAATGAGGGAACAATGGGGGCAGTGAGTTAGTTAACCAACAGAGCCGGAACGCAACAGCTTTTTCCCGAACCATGACCCAACTGTCTATCAGTCTATCACTGTCGACAAGCAGTCACGAATCTTTGACGCATAGTCAGGAAATTTTGTTTTTGTTTTCCTCGAAGGATTTACAGAATCCATGACCATTTGGTCGGTACCCAAAAATCCCACAAGAATTCTCCTACTATGAAAGAATGA